ATAAATAGTTTATTTAAAATTAAATTCACAGCAAAAATTCTAATTTTAAATTGATGATTTATGATGATGAATTATCATTAAATATATTCATTTTACACATAAAATTAATAAAAACCATTTTTTCATATGTCTCACTCAAATAAATTCCATCTTGAAATATTCATCCTTCACAGAAATGAAAGAGTTGGTTTGATAACATTTCTGGAAATTAATCGGATCGTGCAACCCAGAAAATTGCATCAGTGCAGTTCAGAAATATGGTTCATTTCCTTTTCTTCTGGATCTGAGATGTTTTATCAATTTTCCTATCCATCTTGCATAAATAAGGACTCGATAACAACTACAAATAGTTTATTTAAAATTAAATTCACAGCAAAAATTCTAATTTTAAATTGATGATTTATGATGATGAATTATTATTAAATATATTCGTTTTATACATAAAATTAATAAAAATCATTTTTTCATATGTCTAACTCAAATAAATTCTATCTTGAAATATTCATCTTTCACAGAAATGAAAGAATTATTGGTTTGATAACATTTCCGGAAATTAATCGGATCGTGCAGCCCTGAAAATTGCATCAGTGCAGTTCAGAAATATGGTTCATTCCATTTTCTTCTAGATCTGAGATGTTTTATCAAATTTCCTATCCATCTTGCATAAATAAGGACTCGATAACAACTGTAAACAGATTATAAATTAACCAGGTCTGCATATTGGCATAAACGTGTTGTTTTTTAATCTTAATATAGACCAATTCTGGGTCCGCCTATTTTCGTTGTGTCTGTCGTCTCAGGTAGATTGGTTTGAAAGACGTCCGACGGCGTGGCGGCTGTCTTAAAGCGAAATACGCTAAAACCTATTTTCTACCAACGAATTTTAATTATTAAAGCAGCATGTCTACATTTATAATATTTCTAGGCTGACGAAAAACAAATTTGTTCACGAGAAAATCGTCCTGGCTGTAAGCACATTATTTTCAATTAGGTTAATATCCTTTTTTAAGCATAATAATATAAAAATTTACAAAAGAATATTAATGAACGTTTAGCCCAGAAAAAAACCGAGATTATTTTTCAAGGAAAGTGGTTTGTATTATTAAAAGGTTAAGATTAAATATCGAACCGTTCCAGGCGAAGTGCATGTACGGTCGTACCGAATCGACCTTGGCTTATTTAACACGGCACAAATCATTGTTTAAGCACGAAACCAAGTCTTAAAAGCTCTCTCGAGAAGCATTACTCAGCTTGGTCTCATTGTGTTGGCCCACTGGTGACAGCGTGATTGCCTGTCGGATAATTACCGTTAATACCCATTTGTAAAAGGGATCTGAACAGGGCATTGTGATCGATAAAGCATTTTTTTTAAACTGGCTTTAAATGAAATTTCAATTAGGTTGACAGCGACATTTTCTTAAGAGTTCACCTGCTTGGGTAGAATAAAAAAATATATTTAGTTATTCAGAAATCGTGAGATGCGGTCTGGTGTGATCTAGTTCCAGAAAAACATTTTCTTTATCATGCCAACGTTTCGATCTTTATTGAGATCATCTTCAGAGCCTGGGATTTACAAACATTGTAATAAATATATTTAGGCCTAATTCAGAACTGAAAAAGCGATCCTCGTCATCGATTTAAGTCCTTGTTCGCAAACAGACATTATCCGTTAAAATTTCAAAATTTCTAAAATACAAACTTCGAATTATAAACTTCATACAATTTTGACATAGCGTGCTGAATTTTAAATTCTGTTTCTTCACAGATCACATTTAACAAATTATTATATATTTTAATCATTTAAACAAATTACACAGCTTTTATTAATTTTATATTATATATGAGTATTTATTTTTTAATTCAAGTTTAAATGGGGTTAAAATTTTTGTGTTTGGAATCTGGTTTCTGATCAGGTAGAAAAGAAGTAGACTCTGTGATGACTTGACAAGATTTCGGCCTTTATAAGACCATCATCAGGGCATCATTCTATTTCTCATATTAACATTACAGAACGACGAAAAAAACCCGGCGACATCGACTACGAGGTCTCGAAGTACATGAGGTTGGTTAAGTTGAAATTACGACAAGTTTTGTCAGCAAAGACCTTTATCGACCTGTATTTTGGGTAGACCACTTTCCTTGGGAAAAAAACTTTTTACCTTTTCTCGTCATTCCGTAATGATAATATGAGAAATAGGATGCGACCTGATGATGGTCTTAAAAAGGCCGAAAGCATGGCAAGTCATCACAGAGTCTACTTCTTTTCTACTGATCAGAAACCAGATCGTCGTGGTCAATTTTTTTTTCATCGAGTTAAATTTTTTCATTAAATTCACTAATTTCGTGGTCCGCTTGACCAATTAATACATTACAATTAATTAAGGTTTTTAGTTGAGATGAAAAAAAGTTAACGGCACGGGCGGGATTCGAACCCACGATCTTCGGCTAGATACGCCGCTGCTCTACCACTTGAGCTATCGTCACCTCGATCCACTCGAATTTCAACTTCCTATCTCAACCACACCTTTTGAATTTTCCTTCCTTTTTGCCATTTTTCAAATGTCGTGTAATCGGATTGGATTCTCGACGACAAATGAAATGGCCTCGGAGAGCTTTAGTGAAGTGTACTTCATTTAATTCATTAAATTACTAATTTCGTGGTCGACCAAAGTGATTGTTTAAATAAAAAACAATAAACTAAGCAGACCAGCATTGTTCCAATCCATATTCACAAATTGATTAATTAATTTAATTAAACCAGACAAGAGAAAAAATAAATATTTTTTTATTAAATCAAAGGCTGAATTTATTGTCAGAGTAAGCAAAACCGAGAGAAAACGACAATGGAATATTAATTAAAAATCCATTTCCCTATTTATTAATGTCAGTTCTAGTTTCTAGAAGCGCGCTAATAAAGTTGGAAACTTCAAACTAAACCATTTTAGATAGGATTGTGCGAGAATTTCCCTGAAAAGGTTTATAATACTTGAAACTGTTTTATCTTTATAGTAGGGTTATTTGATGTGATTTACGGCCGATTGTGGCCGGTTTAATAATTCGGTTCGACAAATATCTTTTGTTCAAATAAAAACGGGATCTGAGATGCAATAATGTTTTGAAAGGTAATTTCCCTAAGTGTAGTTACCGGCAAAACGTCAATAATTCAAAGTCAATACAATTGATTTTATTGTAATAACAAATTGTCACAAGTGGGAAATTATCAAATATATATCATTTCACGGCCAGTCGAACGATCGGTCGTGACGATAATTTCCGAAAAAAGTCGAATAAATTATTTCGAGATAAAACGTTTCAAAACGAATTGAAAAATGATCAATTTTAATAATCTCTTCGGTCTATTGACAGTCAATATTTTTATAGAATTGTCTGGAAAATATATCAAAGTGTTTCGTTTGTCGGAAAAATACTAATCATGTTTATTAATTTGTGTGGAAAAATGATTTTTGCATTTTCTGAGTGTTATAACTATTTAAGAGCCCAAATTATTTACATTCGATCCAACAACAATCAAGACAACCAAAGTCATCAAAATATCTTAGAATTAGAAATGAGAAGATTGTATGAAAAGAAGTTAAAAATATAGTAGTTTAGAGAAATAGAGAGTGTATGTTAAAGAGAACTTCAACTAATCATTCTTTCGATGTAAGGTCTTGGTTGAGATAAAAAGTCAGTGTCACGAGCGGGATTCGAACCCTCGACCTTCGGCTAAATACGCCGCTTCTCTACCACTTGAGCTATCGTGACCGACCTTTTTCCCTCAACCAAGACCTTACATACAATGAAAATGACAAAAAAGAGGGAAAATTCGATAGGTGTAGGTTGAGATGGGGAGTAGGGGTCCGAGAGGATCGAAGTCACGATAGCTCAAGTGGTAGATCAACGTAGTGTTTAGCCGAAGGTCGTGGGTTCGAATCCCGCTCGTGACACTAGCTTTTTTCTTTTGTTCAATACCTTACATAAAGATTCATTAATTGAAAGAAGCCATTTGGTCAATAGGACCACGAAGTCTAATGGAATTAACAAAAAAATAACGTTTCTAGATAGTACGCCACACCCTGTATAATTTACAAACTATTAAATAATAAAGCTCGTGTTAGCAGGTAAGGTCGAGAGTTCGAATCCCAACCTACAGCCTCTTTTTTGTCATTCAAATGTCGTGTAATCAGGATTCGATTCTCGGCGACTTACGAAGTGGCCACGGGGAGCTGTTTATTGAAGTGATACTTCATTTACTTATTAAATATTAACCCATTTACGTTTTAGTGGTCAATTATTGACCGAGTTACTTCCTTCAATTAATTATTCTTTCTGTGTAAGGTCTTGGCTGAGGTAAAAAAGTCGGACACTATAGCTCAAGTGGTAAAGAAGCGGCGTATTTAGCCGAAGGTCGTGGGTTCGAATCCCGCTCCTGACGCTGACTTTTTTATCTCAACCAGGACATTACATAGAAAGAATAATTAATTGAAAGAAGTAACTCGGTCAAGTGACCACTAAAACGTAAATGGGTAAAAAAGAATATTTTGTCAAAGAGGAACAAATGAAAGAAACAGAAACATACGAAAACAGAGTTGGAGATATGTGTGAGTATGAGAACGGAAATAAGGAAAGTCAGTGTGTATGTCTTTTGGGTTCCTTTTATTATTTAACTTTCAAAAGTTTTAATCGGATCGATCGACAAACCATAGATATCGTAAGAAGCCACAAAACCGTTGTGTAATTAACAACTGCGTTAATTCAACAAAAACTAAAATAACCTTCAAATTTCGAACTTGAACGAGAAATGTTTCTAATTAGAGGAAGAGTCAAAACATACGAGATTCAAATTATCAGCAGTAATTGTTCTGCAACTGAGTTTGCAAGCAGAAAATTCACCTTAGGAAATATCCATATATTTTACATAATTAGTTTATAGAGATTTTGCTTTGATTATGATTTTCTTGCAAAAAGTTATAATTATGGCAATTTCATTTTCAGAAAACTGCTAAAAGAGCTCGATGGAGATTTCATCTAGAGTGAATATCGAGAAGAGGCGCTGTGGGTGAAAAAACCCTGTTATCTCCACCCTGGTATGTTGTATAATTTAAAATTATTAATTTTATAAATAATATTTTTAACGGACAAACAAAATGAGAAGAAAAATCTGGTAGGTCCTTTACTTGAGATTTTCAATGAAAGGTAATCTGGGGGCGTCGGTGGCCGCAACGGTTTAGGCGTTGACATGGCGCTCATCACTGTAAGGTAAAGGTCCCGGGTTCGAATCCAGCGGCCCTGCATTCGAACCCGATTTACTTACAAATTGGCTCATTTTCAAAAACACCGGCACCCTGAGGGTTTATATGACCTCTGCTGTTGCGAACCCTCGTAAAAAAAATAAATAAATAAAAATGAGAGGTAATGAAAAAATCATATTAGAAAACAAAACGTATTTTAAGACGATTTACATTTCTATCCATAAATTAAATTGAAATAAAGAATGTGTTGATGATAATATCGAAGGAAAAAAAATCAACCGCTGATAAAGTCTGTTTCACTGGAAATGATGAATGACACAATTTTTGGTTGATTCTTTGAAACAGTTCGAAAACTTTACCTTGATCGTTTTTTTATCATTTTGCTCAATCAGACGAGTTTCCATTTTTCACCATCATCAGTGAGGTTTTGATTCAGTGCCTCGCCATTGTTATAATCTTGTTCACTGAATATGCAAAAAGGCCGATATACCAAACCAACGAGGTTATGACGACGATGCTGGGCCGCTGGATTCGAACCCGGGACCTTTACCTTACATTAATGAGCGCCGTGTCAACGCCTTAACCGTTGCGGCCTCCGACGCCCCCTGGCGACAAGTATTCAATTCCTCAAGAAGAAAATCGAACAATGCAAAACTAGAATAAAAGTTAAATTTTATTTCGTATAAATAAAATATTAGATACGCAATTTGTATTTAAATTTGAACGGAATAGTCGATTAATTAGTTGAACTGATGATAAAAACATATAATTCCAAAAATAGCTGAAAACAGACCACTATCGATTGATTCTACTGCATGTTCTCTCTTAGGTTATGGTATCATGGTGACGGCGATGTACATATTGACTGTGTCCAGGCTATATGTTGATTTTGCATGGCGATCGTATATCAGTTAATTTACTGTTCTATGTCGATTTGTCCCTTAATATAAAAAATTTCACCTACGGATAATAATTTAACAGACTTTTATATTACGTCGGAAATCATTCATGTTTGAAATAGCTTGGACTATGTCACACCGTCACATGAAAACTTAATAACGAGCAGGAGTTTTCTAAGCGACTGTAAATCAGGCAAGGTCGTACTGCGCAAACGAGGATTTTGCATGCTAGCGCTGCACGACCGCAGCAACTGAACATTTGCCCAAACATTGAAATCTGGCTTAGAAAGGGGCTTTGAATAATTTATCACACCGTAAAAATAGAAACGAGTTTGACAGAGACCCGACCTCCGAAGATCCTCAATTATTTGCACTTTCAAGACATTTATTCTTGACGCGTTACAAAAGTGCACTTTTGAAACTATCTAAGGGCTTCCTCTCTCAACAGTGTGATTCAGCTGAAGTTTTTCTTTTTAAATTAATTTGCCTTATGATCAAGTTTGTTAGACTTGGTAGAGCTGTGATGTATGTGAATAATTCCCGCAAACTTTGTAACTTCGTGGCGTCGTCCTGTCGACGGTCTTTTCTATGGTCGATGACTATTACCGAATCAATATGATTTGAGAATTCCGATCAATCTGTGATGTTAACATAGCTATCGGTTTTTTCTCAATCAGAAATAATAACGATCCAGATCCTAAAAATAAATTGTTAAAATATTAAAATAGGTTGATAGAAGAAGATATGTTTAGAGGATGGAGTTAATATTTATGACACCAACTGCGGAATTGGCGTTGATTTATAGAAGAGTGATTTAAATCAATCAATTCCATGGCTACATCACACGCCAGATTGCAAAAGATATATTTTTCCATCATTTTTATAACTTTATTGCGATTATAACTACGTCGCAACTACGTTACACCGGCAACGTTTGCGTTAATTAAATATTTTTATCAGTGAATATGTTGATTATGATTTATGGCAAAACAAAATCAGATTAAAATAATTTCATTCTATTTAGTGGTCTATTGACCAAATTACTTCTTTCAATTAATCTTTTTATGTAAGGTTTCGGTTGAAATAAAAAAGCTAGTGGCACGAGCGGGATTTTTGACGAAATTTGAAAATTGGCAAAAAGGAGGGAAAATCCGAAAGGTTGTAGGTTGAGATGGGGACTTGGTGTCCGAGTGGATCGAAGTCACGATAACTCAAGTTGTAGAGCAGCGTATTTAGCCAATGGTCGTGGGTTTGAATCCCGCTCGTGGCAATAATATTTTCTTTTGAACCAAAACCTTACATAAAAATATGAATTAATTAAAATAATTTATTGATTAATCATTAAATTCACTAATTTTCGTGGTCCGATTGACCAATTAAAATCATCCAATTAATTAAGGTATTTAGTTGAGATAAAAAGTCGGTGTCGCGAGGGGGATTCGAACCCACGACCTTCGGCTTGATACGCCGCTACTCTACCACTTGAGCTATCGTGATTTCGATCCACTCGGGCACTAACTTCCCATCTCAACCCCACCTTTTGAATTTTCCCTACTTTTTGTCATTTCTCAAATGGCGTGTAATCTATTTAACTCTCGGCGACAAATGAAAATGTTTTTCATCTCAACTAAAAACCTTAATTAATTGGTTAAGCGCACCACGAAAACTAGTGAATTTAATAAGTTAAAATGAAGTATATCTTCACTAAAGCTCTCCGTGGCCATTTCATTTGATAGTCTAGAATCTAACAGATTACACGACATTTGAAAAATGGCAAAAAGGAGGGAAAAAACAAAAGGTGGGGTTGAGATGGGAAGTTAGTGTCGGAGTCTCGATAGCTGAAGTGGTAGAGTAACAGCGTATCAAGCCGAAGGTCGTGAGTTCGAATCCTGCTTGTAACACTGACTTTTTTATCTCAACTAAAAACCTTAATTAATTGATTAACCACAAGATGGAACGCTGGGAGCTGAAATTTTGTATTCCTAAGTATTGCTGTAGCCCCAATGTTTCTGCCCTTGAAATATATGGCACATGTGATTACCATAATTTCCAAAAATAAGCGTTGCAATCTTTGGCTAATTGGTCTTTTAGTAGTTCCTTAGTTTAATTCAATTGACTCGATATTTTTTTTAGAAGGAGTAAGTCATATTGCTGCAAGTTTTCCCAGGTATCTTAAGGTATAATTCCATTGAGAGGTTGCTTCACTTCCGAAGGTTATATGAGTAACAGTTTCTTCCTCCACAGTCCATAACATACAAATGGTGTCATCATCGCACATACCCATGTTCTGTAGGTGTTTTCTCAGTTACCACTGCCCAGTATATAACCACATCAACCCCATTAGGTGAAGAAGTCTATATTTTACCTTGTTATCCCAATTATAGGCTCCAACTTCAAATGGTCTTGTAGATCCTCCACTGGCCTTGCTGTTACAATTTGGGATCAACATTGAATATACCCATGCTGTGTAGGTGTTTTCTCAGATGTCATTGGCCGTTTGTCTCATCTCTCTCGTGAATTTTTTCCTCTCTAGCAATGCGATTGGCTGTTCCGGTAAGATTTCTTTAATCATGAATTTGGTATTTCTGGTTTTCACTAGTCTATCCTTTTTTTAAATTCATGCTGAGGAGTCTGTGTTTGTCATTTTTTATCTCATGTATACGTTTGATTTTTCATCACCCAAGATATTTTCAGATTATTGAGTTTTTCCTCATTTTAAAGATATTTGATGAATTAATTAACTATTTTAAATATGATGTTTTTACGTGGTAGTACTTTTATGGCTGTTGGCTTTCTCTTCATATCAGAATTTTTCGTCAGTAGAATTTATTCATTAAAAAAGCCACTTAAAAAGTCCCTTTGAATTAATATGGCGAATAGGTGAACCTTCAAGATTTGGCGTATAAGATTAACCTCATATTTCTAATGTTCGCTGTGTGATTTCGAGTTCATTATAAATACTCCTCGTCCTGATCTAAACTATTCATTTTATGTATAACATGGCAAATGTTATACCACTTCTTTCTCATCTCCCTGTCAAACCTACCCATTCTCCCTTGAAGTTTTACATAATATATCGCCCAGTAGAAAATCCCCTCTTGACATTTATAGCCATACAATTTATATATAGTAGTTTAAAATGTATAGAGGATTTTCTACTAGGTGATTTGTGAAAATAGAACTCGAAGGATAAAAACCTTTTAAGAAAAATGTCTATTCGCGTACGTTCAACTTTAATCTAAGACGACAAAAACCTCCTAAACTTTTTTTTAACCTAACAACCTTCTTTCTGTTAATTCCTTCTGATGGCAAGGCATGACGTACCCTCTGAAATGTTGAAAGCTTTTAACACCCATCTTAAATTATTTATTTTAATTTTGTTTTTGCACTTATTCCTAATGAATTCAGTAAATTTATCTTTAGTTTTTTGTTGTTTTTTTCTCCCAGGCTTTTATACGATATGACTATCAGGAATCCTTGATAAAAATCAAGCACTTTCTAGCTACTAATTACCATTTTCTTGGAGTACTCCGTCAAGGGGGCACCCTTGGTCCCATAATGTAAAACGTTTATACTGCTGACTTTCCCATACAACACAGTATTAACACAATAATGTCTTCTAGCCTTATTCTATCATTAGCACTTACACAAGAAGCAAGGGTGTACAAATGAGAAAACAAAATAAAAAGAGGAAAAGTGTGGACTGTATTTTTACGGTAAAAAATACAGAAGACCTTTGTAAATCATCAACGAGATATTGACATCGGTTTATTGTGATAATTCCTCTTAAGATAAGCGGGAGTTTTTTGATGGCGTCATCATGAGAACGATCAAGCTACTTTAAACTCTTCCTAATCACGCTAACGTGGTATCTTCTCAACAAGACTTAAGGGAAAATACCTTATAAGTCAGGCTAGTCTTAGGTCATTACAAAAG